TGATTAGTAATATGCATTGCTAAGAACTTCATTTGGACAACTTTAAAGATGATTTTCTCAATATTTAGATTTTTTTGCACCCTCAGATTCCAGATTTTCAAATAGTTGCATCTCAGCCAAATATTGTCCTATCCTAACAAACCATACATCAATGGAAAGATTATTTATTCAGCTTTCAGATGATGCATTAATCTCAATTTCACAAAATTGACACTTAAGACTGGTTTTGTGCTCCAGGGTCACATATGTCTTATGTTCTGAAACATTGCAGTGGTCATTTAACGTTTTTACATTTCACATCTTCATTGTACATCTATTTATATATCACCTTTTAATGAGCTTGATTTTAATGAACTCAGTTTTTTCTTAAATGTCCATCCCTACATACACCTAGACAAAACTGAATTCAGTGTAATCCTGAAAAAAATTAACACAATTATATAAAAATGAATGAATAAGTGTGTCTTGTAACAGGATGACTGATTGTTAAAGCCATTGCTGATTTGAAGGAGTTCAGCTATACAGGCAATCAGTGCAATGCTAATTCTAACATGTTTCTGTTGAACTTTCCCACATTATTGCAGGAGCAAACCAAGAACGCTCAGTTCATCATCATCTCCCTGAGGAACAACATGTTTGAGATGGCCGACCGTCTCATCGGCATCTATAAGACACACAACACCACCAAGAACGTGGCCATCAACCCCAAAACCATCGTCCTGCGCCAGATCGAGACGGCGTGATACTCTGTGAACCACTCGCTCCTTCTGATGGTTTGGCTGTTCATCACTTCTCTCGCTTTCTGTCTCCAAACCTTTTATACGTCTCCTTCATTCTGTGCTGCTCCATTCATTCCTTCATTGTTTTTAAATCAAATGAGTTTTATACTACATAGTAATTATAACATGGAATATTATCATGCAGCTTAATATTTTAAATAAACATTAAATGTGGCATTGTGCGTTTTGTGATTCTTATGTTTAAACTAAAACACAATCAGCACTTGTTAATGGATTTCTATGGATTGGATTTCTAAACAGCCAGAAGAAAGCATCAGTCCGGAAGAGTGCGGTTTCTGAGAGCTTTATTCATCTCTGAAACTTCAGAGAAATCAGGAAGGAATGACTGAAAGAGCTAATAGATGCTCTTTTATACAACAAGTACAGTGCAAACAGTAAGTGTTTTTAGTAATCATTTGTAGTAGTACAAAAGAGTAGAACAAAATTAGAAATGTACATATAAAGTTCTTAAAATTAAGATAAAAAGTAGGTCCCTAATGTCTTGACGTCTCAAATTGTGCTTATCTAGTCAGTGTGGTCCCTATATCTACAAGCATGATGGCTGCATCCGAAACATACTTCCCTACTATATAGTAGGCGAAAAACAGTATATGACAAAAGAAGCAAGTCCGAATCCACAGTACTCATAAAAGAGTAGGGATGTGAATGTAGTACTTCCAGATTACATCCATACTATATAGAACATACTCTTTTTGCGGCCGTGAAGTAATTACTTATTCAAAAAAGTACCTACTGGAGAGTATGCAATTTCAGAGGCAGCCAAAGTCTAAAAACAGACGCAGGAGGTCTATGGAACTGTGGGAAGACGGCATTATGGGTAACGTAGTTTACTTGTACTGCAGTTACACAGCTACTCATTATTTTTAGTAACAGACTGTTTTATAAACCACGATTTAAAACAAACGCGCTCTTCTGAACTGAAGTACACTGGTTTTCTGAACAGCTGATGTGAAAGGGGTCGAGACACGGGTTCTGTCGAGGATTGCACCAGTGTTTTGTAATCCATTCACAAAGAAACTGCTGTTGAAAGATGAAGCAGATGTTTTGGATCTGACTGTTACTGCATCGCAAAGCTTCATGATGCTTTGTATATTTAAGGATGTTTACAAAGCACTCGCGTGCAATACTTTTTCCCTATATTAAGTAAAGATCTTGTTCCATGAAGATATTTTGTAAATTTCCTATTGTAAATATATCAAATCTTAATTTTTGATTAGTAATATGCACTGCTAAGAACTTCATTTGGACAACTTCAAAGGTGATTTTCTCAAATTTTTTTTTTTTTTTTTGCACCCTCAGATTCCAGATTTTCAAATAGTTGTATCTCGGCCAAATATTGTCCTATCCTAACAAACCATACATCAATGGAAAGCTTATTTATCCAGTTTTCATGTGATGCATACATCTCAATTTCCAAAAATGTACCCTTAAGACTGGTTTTGTGGTCCAGGGTCACATATGTTAATAATAGGCATGATAATAAGCAACTAGTTAATATTGAGAGTTGGTCCCTATACTAAAGTGTTACCGAAAAATCTTACTGACCCTAAAATAAAAGCACTATATGGAACCGAACATTCTCATGAGTGAGGAGGACGTTCTGGACATGATTTGGATTACAAGGATACTGCTCACTTTATTACGGTAAATGTTCTATTCCTGCCAAGTGATGTTTTCCTCTGTCATAATTTCCTGTGCGGAGAGCAGCTCTTCCTCAAGTTGCACAACAGAAGGGTTCTGAAACCGCTGGATGACATCAGAACAGCCAAACACTTTGTTCTATTACTGAGGGTCATCAGTAAATGACATCTGACTTACATCCTCCATTCAGTCTGTTTGTCCTGAACCGAACTGAATGTTCTGATTAGTCTAGAGCAGTGGTTCCCAACCCTGGTCCTGGAGGCACCCCAACACTGTACATTTTGCATGTCTCCTTTCTCTGACGCAGCAATTTCAGGTCTTGAAGTCTCTACCAATGAGCTGATGACCTGAATCAGGTGTGTTTGATTAAGGAGACATGCAAAACATGCAGTGTTGGGGTGCCTCCAGGACCAGGGTTGGGAACCACTGCTCTAGAGCAGTGGTTCTCAAACCTCTCCTTGAGTACCCCCAGCCCTGCATATTTTGTATGTCTCCCTCATCTATCACACCTGATTCAACTCATCAACTCATTAGTGGAGACTGCAAGACCTGAAGTGGGTGTGTCAGATATAGGGAGACATACAAAATGTGCAGTGTTGGGGGTACTTCATGGAGAGGTTTGAGAACCACTGGTCTAGAGGATCACCTCATACTGGTCAACAAAACAGTTAACTATCTAAATGCTGTTAAATACAAGTCAGAACCATTATTGTTGTACAAACTTGAGAGCTAGCAGACACCACAATGAGAAGAGAGAAGGATTTGAACCACAAAATGTCAAAAAAATTCTCTAAAACCACTTGCTTGTGAAATGTACTTCAAACCAAACTACAAATACGAATCCACCTCTGTAATCATTCTTCATTGTAAAATCCTAATATCCTATCTAATATAAACCTTTTCTGCATACAGAGAGTAATTGATGTTTCACATAGCACCTTTAGAAACACTCAAACTATAAGGACACCTAGTGGACAAGGACTGAAAATACAGGTGTGCGACCAGCTCCTGAAAGAGCTCATACAGCCTGAATGTCAGAAAAATTCTCTAAAACCACTTGCTTGTGAAATGTACTTCAAACCAAACTACAAATACGAATCCATCTCTGTAATCATTCTTCATTGTAAAATCCTAATATCCTATCTAATATAAACCTTTTCTGCATACAGAGAGTAATTGATGTTTCACATAGCACCTTTAGAAACACTCAAACTATAAGGACACCTAGTGGACAAGGACTGAAAATACAGGTGTGCGACCAGCTCCTGAAAGAGCTCATACAGCCTGCAGAAAGAGTCTTTGGTGCTCTTGATCAGCTCTTCTGTGTGTTAGTGTGGAGAAGCAGCACTTGTCCCGCTAGACCGTCCTGTACGCCGCCAGGAGGAAGTACGTACCTCGTCCCATTGCTGGCTCTCTGAGGGTCCATCTCCTTGAGTTGACTGTTGCTCTGTGTTACCAACTCAAACTTCCACAGCTGGTAGCGTAGACTCTTCCCCTGCTTAGCCAGAACAAACACCTCTTTAACGTCATCGGTCGGCCATGAGACAGAAGCCTCGTTCTGAGAGAGATGCAGCCAGGGAAGTGTGAGGTCAGGGGGGAAGTGTCTGCTGTCCACACACCCCTGCCTTAAGCCTAATAATACACCTGGATAAAGACAGAAATTATTAGACTGAAGTACTGTTTCGTCACATAACTTTGTGACATAATTGTTGAGTCTCACCTAAGATGACGTAAACAGGGCTCATGATTAAAATCCTCATCATATCTGTGCCGGAGCTGTCAGGAACACAACTACAGTCTGTCTGAACAGATGTCATTCATTAAACAGTGCAATATGCACATGACTATGAATATGTGTCTTTGTATCATGTTGTATTTGATTATGTTTGCACTTGCAAACAAAGTTATCAATTTAGAGGTCAGACATGTGGCCTTGCAAAAAAAAAAAACAGTAAAAAAAAAAAGAGGCATAGAGGTCAAATAATAAAATTCAATAAAATTTACAAATTACTTCAGAAAACAGTGATTCAAAATAAATAAATAAAATAAATAAAAATAACTCGGTGGTAAAATAAAAATAAATAAAATGTATATATTAAATAAATTTGTTAACACTGTTAAGTGTAATAAACACTGTTTTCTGAAATTATTTGTATGCATATACACACACACACACACACACACACAGAAAAACAAGTAAGTTAGATAGAATAGAAAGCTAGGTTTTTTTTTTAATGTATTTACATAGATACATACATAGATGTATTTACATCTCTTTGCGTTGTTTCAGACTACTGAAAAGAAAACATCCAAAAATACATTTTCAATTACAATACATATCTTTAAAGGCTGTTTTCTCAAATTGATTATTTTCTCATACACTGAGCCAGAAATGTTTGTTTGTTTTCTTATTTGTATTTATTTGTTTGTTTATTGTTACATTTTTTTCTGGCTTTTGACAGTATTTTCTGATATATTGAGTGATAAAAAGATACCCAAAATCCCCTCTGTAAAAACAAAACAAAACAAAAAACACTTTGACTCTATTGTCGACAAAATGAAAAAATTATTTTGAACCTGATTTTATCCAGTGTTCAAATTTCAATTCTGGAAATGTATGCAAATTAGTGCATATTAAATTAGATAATGCATCATTTGCTTATTTAACCCTTGTATGGTCTGTGGGACCCGTTTTCACTTTTTATCAAAAGAAAAATGATACTATTAATTATTTTTTCAAACTCAGACTCATTGGCCTTGGCTCATTTTCTGTGAAGAACATTTATCAGAACAAATTTTCAATGACCACTCACTGTACACCCTACTACACACTTATATTACATACAGGATGTTCAGGTCCACTGGACCTGGGGCTAATAAAAGAGCGGAAATTTTAGGTCCTGTGTACCTTCACTCTGTCCTCCTATTGTCTGGGCCTGCTATTAGTATGTGTTTTTCTAACTCCCCTAGAGTTAAACAGTTGAGTTTTACTGTTTTCGAATCCATTCAGCCGATCTCCGGGTCTGACGGTAGCACTTTTAGCTGTATCTTAGCATAGATCATTGAATCTGATTAGACTGTTAGCATCTCGCTCAAAAATGACCACAGAGTTTCTATATTTTTCCTATTTAAAACTTGACTCTTTTGTAGTTACATCGTGTACTAAGACCGACGGAAAATGAAAAGTTGTGATTTTCTAGGCCGATATGGCTAGGAACTATACTCTCATTCCGGCGTAATAATCAAGGAGCTTTGCTGCCGTACCATGGGTGCAGCAGGCGCAATGATATTACGCAGCGCCTGAAAATAGGCTAGCTTCCGTCAACATAACCAACGTGACCACCTGCTTGCACAGGGAGCGTGCTGGGGGACTATTTTCAGGCGCTGCGTAATATCAGAACTTTTTATATTAAAAGCAAACAGGCAAGCCCAGCCCAGATTTAAAAAGTAACGTAACACATCACTTTCAATAAAAAGTAACTAAGTAATGTAATTAGTTACTTTTTTAGGAAGTAACGCAATATTGTAATGCATTACTTTTAATAGTAACTTTCCCCAACACTAGTGTTGTCAAAAGACCCGGCACTTCGGTACGAAGTCGGTACTAAAAAAATGAAAACGTTACGGTACCAGATTTTTTTAAGTACCGGTGGTACCGAGTACCCGGTCAACCCGGTTCTTGATGCGCTATCCTAAAGGTGCGCAGATGCGCTCTCTTCATAAAAGCACTGAGACGTGGCGACATCAAAATGAGGAAACTCATCAAACTAACAAACACTTTAAAGACAGACACCCAGATCAAATGAAAGAGTTCAAGCAGGTAAGTTTCATTTTAATTTTTAATATTTAGATCAGTGTTACAAATAGATTTTCCAAAAGGCTTTGACTTCCTTGAATAAACATGATAACTGCACGTGTCAAAGTCGAAACCCGGTGCAGGTGTTTTTATATCACCGCTTCTGTTATGAATATTACTCAATATTTTAATTTGAATGTGGGATTGAAATGAATGCTGTTATTAGAGTAGTTAATCGTTAGCATAATTTTATTAATTTTTTTTTTTTTTTTAGATAGCTTAGTTGTTATTCTTGGCTGAATAACTCTAGGTTTTCATATAGGTAAATATGTACACAGTTTGGATTAAATGAAAGTATAGTCAAATTTTTTAATTAGCATGCTTCTGAATGTTCCAGTGAGCACTGTTGGGGCCATAATCCGGAAGTGGAAAGAACATCATTTCACCATAAACTGGCCACGACCAGGTGGTCCTCGCAGGATTTCTGACAGAGGAGTGAAAAGAGTTACCCGAAGAGTTGTCCAAGAGCCAAGGACCACTTGTGGAGAGCTTCAGAAAGACCTGGAATTTGCATGTACAGTTGTTTCAAAGAAAATAATAAGTACAATAAGTAATAGTTTCTCCATACAGGAGGCGTCTTGAAGCTGTCATTACCAACAAAGGCTTTTGTTTGAAGTATTAAATAAATTTCAGTAAGCGTGTTCAAGACTTCATTCCATTTTATTACACAGAACTTAATTTCTGAACTTATTTGTATTGTTTTCTTTGTATGTATGGATTACTTGGGTTGTTACCGACATCTGGAGAAAATTTCATGTCAACAGCACCTTTAGAAATATATTTACTGAGAAACATGGTGACATGTTCAATACTTATTTTACCCGCTGTATATATACTGTATAGTATATACACACATACACACACATATTTGAAAACTTTGATCAAAACAAAAAAGTGGTCTAGTGGTAATAAAATAAAATAATAATTTCAGAACAGTGATCAAAACAAAAAAGAGGCCTAGAGGTAAAATAATACTATTAAATAAAATTTACAAAACATTTCAGAAAAAATGACACACACACACACATTAGACAACTTTGATCAAAACAAAAAAGTGGCCTAGCGCTAATAAAATAATAAAAAAATTAAATTAAATTAAATTAAATACAAACTTATTTCAAAAAACAGTATGCACAACAAAAAAAGTGGCCAAGTGGTAACATAAATAAATACATAAAATAAAATTATTTTAGAAAACAGTGAGCAAAACAATAAAAACAATTGTGGACCAACATGAATAATCAAATATGTAAGTAGTTAAGATACGGTATAAGAACAGGTTGCCCGCCAGCGAGGTGTTTAAGAATGACAGCAGTGTTTTCTCCCATCATGCCTCCTGATAACCTCTGAACTCTGCACCCACACACTTCCTCCGCCAGCTTGGCCATGTCACTAGCTATTTCAAAACAGAAAAAACACAAACATTGTAGAATTGAGTAGTCTTCTGTTTAAAGTGTGGAAAGCCACAGATACTCTTAAGACAATTACCCAACACTAGTTCCTTTTTCATCAACATGTTAAAACTTAATTCCATTAAGTTACATTTAGTCCACACATGACAGTTACATTTACTAAGTACCAGAAAACATTTCTCCTTGTTTAGTGTAGCCGTTGTATTTTGCCATCTGGACCAGTGTCTCCAGCACCACTGTCTTAGGAGGCTGCAGAAGATGAGTCGCCATCCATAAGACCACAAGACCACATCTGAAGTTACATACAAGAGCAGAGAAATATCAACTAACAGTGCACAAACATGCAGCTACACAGGCAGATAAACAACAGCAATAGACCGATGTATTGTCAAGACAGATATCAGCCGATAAGCTTTTCTATTTGGCCGATAAGTGTCAGAATATTTGTCATATTTGATGTGTACAGGGAAATGTAAAATAAGCATTAAATGATCTTCACTTTATCAGTGTTATTTTAGTATCACTGAGATACTATTATAGTTTTTAATTAATATTTTGAATTAGTCTTTATTTTTAGATTTTCTGTTTTTGAAATTTTGTTGTGTTTTTGTCATTTGTATTACATTTTTAAAAATGTCTATATATTTTTTATTAATGTTTATTTCAGTTTTAGAACTTATTTTAGTACATCAAGATAAACTAAATGACTAATAAATAAAATGTCAGTTTCCTTATTGACAAGCTGACTTTTTTTTGTCAGTTTTTTTGTTGTGGTTTTTGTCTTAGTGAACTATAATAACCCAGGTCTTCATTTGTAAAAAAAAAAAAAAAAAAAAAAAATTCCTAGTGTGTTTGCGCACACCTGGCGAATAAAGCTAATTCTGATTCTGA